TCTATATATATATATATATATATATATATATATATATATATATATATATATATATATATATATATATATATATATATACGTACACACACACACTCAAACATACACAAATACACACACACACATACATATATACACAGAAATACCCACACACACAATAACACAAACACATTCACACACGAACACAAACACAAGTTAATATACTGTTAACTTCTTTAGAAAAAAAAATTCTTTCTTTCCTTCAACAATTAAAAATAATGAACAAATAAACGAACACACACACACAATATATTACTCACGTACACACCTAAACATATTTAAACATGCAAACAAACCTACACACACACGCACACACACAAACACACACACACACACAAACAAACAAACATACAAACTGACATAGTATCAACTTTAGTTAGCAATTCCTTCTTGAGATCAGGCCATAATTTCTTGCTCTTTACCTCTTCATTAGTTGTCTTCGTCTTCAAAATACTGACCTTTGCACTAGGGTTGTTGTCCTGGAAACAGCTGTTAACCTCCATGAAGTCAGAAGCGATGTTGTTGTTGACGTTGTTGTTGTTGTTCGTTGGTTGGATGAGGGGAGAGTTGTTGAGGTCGATTGTTATTTGTTTCGTTACGAAGAATGTGTTGAACCAGAAGTGAAATAAACTTTCCTGATTTTGTTCGTGTCGTTGTTTGTGGTCTTTTGTTTGTTGTTGTGCGTTGTTGTTTGAGGTTTTTGTTTGTTGTTGTGTATTATTTGTTTGTCTATTGTTTGTTAAAAACTTGTTGTTAGACACCTAAAAACATCAAGTCTAGGAAAGGCAAGTCTAGTCAAGTCATGGATATTTTGAGTCGGCGGCGGCGACTTCTTCAAAGTCAAACCAGCAGTCGACTTTTGTTCGTTTGCATGTATGTTTTTGTGGATAGGAATATACAGACAAACAAATAGACAAAGATATAAAAAAAAAGAATATACAGACAAACAAATAGACAAAGATATAAAAAAAAGGAATATACAGACAAACATATAAAAAAAGGAATATACAGACAAACAAATAGACAAACATATGAAAAAAAGGAATATACAGACAAACAAATAGACAAACATATGAAAAAAAGGAATATACAGACAAACAAATAGACAAACATATGAAAAAAAGGAATATACAGACAAACAAATAGACAAACATATGAAAAAAAGGAATATACAGACAAACAAATAGACAAACATATGAAAAAAAGGAATATACAGACAAACAAATAGACAAACATATAAAAAAAAGGAATATAAAGACAAACAAATAGACAAACATATGAAAAAAAGGAATATACAGACAAACAAATAGACAAACATATAAAAAAAGAAATATACAGACAAACAAATAGACAAACATATAAAAAAAAACTTAAATACATGCAAACGTAAACACTCACGCACCTTAGCGAGCATATTTTTACTGAAAAAGTCCATCCTGATATCATCAGCAAGTTCATTTGTGAATGTGCTCGTATCAAGAATTATGTTTGGGTCACCTGTTTTATGTACGTATGTATGTCGTCTGTCTATATGCATGCATGTATGTATGTATGTATGTATATATGTATGTATGTATGTATATATATATGTATGTATGTATGTATGTATGTATGTATGTATGTATGTATGTATGCATGCATGTGAATATGTATGTATGTTTGTGTGTTTGAATGTTTGTTGGTTTTTAAGTATGTATATATATATGTTTGTTGTTTGTATGTTTGCATACATGTATGTCTGTTTGTTCGTATGTATGTATATATGTATGTTTGTTTGTTTGTATGTTTGTATATATGTAAGTATGTTTGTTTGTTTGTTTGTATGTATATATGTATGTTTGTTTGTATTTATTCATAAATAATTACTGTAATGAATATAAGTAAATAAGTAATTATAGTTGAATAATTTTGAAGAGGAGACCTCTTTTGAAGCCTTCATAATAACCAGATCTAAATTTTCTCGTGTCTATCTGAGTTCTTAGGGTGAAGAAAAAATCTGTATGTTGGAATTTATGTATGTATGTATGTTTGTATGCATGTTTGTTTGTATGTCTGTATGTATGTATGTTTGTATTGATGTGTATGTGCAGTGAAACGAAACAAAACAAAGAAACGAACGAACGAACGAACGAACGAATACACAAACTAAAATATTTTCCAATACTAACTACAGCCACTACTGCTGCCGTAGGCGTGTGGGATAGTACTGAATTTGATTGCTACTAGCTTTAATTTCGTAGACTTGTATGTCCGCGTCGAGGCTTCCTTCAGAAGATCCGAAAAGTAATGAACGTATCGAATCTGGCTAGGTATGGTCACACCCTGGCAGTTGTTTGTGATTGGTTGGATGATTGATTGGACGATTAATTAGGTTGTTTGTGATTGGTTGGCCGGTCGGTTGATTGATTGATTGGTTGACTGATCATGGCTGTTTGTGGTTAGTTGGCAAGTTTGTTGATTGGTTTATTTAATGATTGATTTAGCGAGTGATTTGCTCATGTTGATTGAATGATTGGTCAACACATAGACACTTAACTCTGAAAATTATATTACTAAAGCAATGAAACGTTATTTAAAAAAAAATAAAATAAACTTTTTTATCTTTGGTCCTCTTTAAGGCATAAAAATTTAGAGCTCCCTCGACGTCGAATTTATTTATGTAGACGAGGTAGGCACAGATCATGACGCCTGTTCTGCCCTACAGGGATTGGTTGAATATCCAACTCATCAATCAATCAACCAATCAATCAGCCAATCAATTAATTAACCAGCTGACCAATCAACCAACCAGCCAATCAATGAACTAGCCAACTGGTAAACCTACCTTGCCAGCTTTACAGTGTATGACAGCTACATTTTTGAGGTCTTCATCGTGCCACTTTTTGACATCCTCACAGAAATTTCTCATCAGCTCTAACGTCGGAGGGTTGTGGTCTTCGAATGGATACCTAGGAATTTATTATTAAAATTATTATAATAATTATTATCATTACAAATAATATTATTAATTATAATAAAAATAATAATTAATAAGGATATTCAATTATTTATCACCTTATGACATATCCCTTGAACTTTGATTTGGCGTACTCTTTCTCCTGGCACCTGGTGAAAGGATAAATAAATTGTCATAAACAACTTTTTTTTCTGTATTTTACATATCTCCATTGAATCTCAGAGGTATATGTAAAAAATTGTATATACTTTATTTCATACAAAATGTGCTAGCTTATTATATATGTATGGATAGATGGGATAGATGAATGGATAGAAAGAAGGAAAAATCAATGGAAAGATGGATGGTTTGTTGGACGGACATAAAAAGAGACAAATAAACAGACAGACAGAGAGATATTCATAATAAATTAAAAATATATTATTAGATTACAATGAAAAAATAAGCAAAAAACCTAACTAACAGATTATAAATCCTGTAATGGTTTCCATGTTTCAGTTCCAGCAGTCTATGGACATCATCCAAATGGTTCCTATAGACACCTTCAAGATTCTCCGCTGGAAATCCCATGGCGATTATGTTGTTTGTAATGTCTGTGGCAGCGATAGGTGGGTGTGTGTGATGCTGTGTATATATGAGTTTGTAGTATGTGTGTGTGTGTGTGTGTGTGTGTGTGTGTGCATTGTAGGAGTTTTTAAGATGTTAAGTTGGTCAAATTAAATTTTCAAATGCAGACTTTCAAAAAAAAAAAATAACCTGCAGTGCAATGACAAAAAAGAGGTGAATGAGATTCAAAAGGAGTGAACCAAATTAACATTAACCTAACATTAAGTCTAATTAAAAAAAACTTAGGTTGTTGTAGTCTGTTGGTAAATTTAGAAAAGTAATTGGCAAATTAAGTTATGTAAAAATAAAAATATGTAATACAAACAAGCGAGATCAAGATCAAAGCCATCCTCCTGATAGCGTATTTTGTTCTTACTCACTAATTCCTTTAGCTTGTTAGGCATTTTTAATATTTTTATTTTTATGATGCCTTTAGACTTTTTCTAAGGCATAAAACAAGAATGAGTTACAGTTACAATTTAATTAATTCATGATAATGATAACAAAAACTATTTTTTAAGCATTTTTTTTCAAGTAATTTTTGAAAAAAGTTTGCAAAATTTGGAAAACTTAAGCTTAAATTAAAAAATAAACCTATAAAAAGGTCATTGTCTCTTAATAAAAAATTAACTTTTTAGTTTTTTACTTTCTTCTTCCTGGTTGCAGGGAAATTCTAAATTTAAATTTAAAATAAACGAAACATAAAATCGCAACGGCAAATCGAGTACGTAAAAAACAAAACAAATAATAATAAGTTACTAATTTCTCCCATTCGCATCTAGGACATTTTGAAAATAAAGTTTTTAAAAGACCATTTTATTTACAGTTTACACCAAGGTGAATTTAGCTTCATAAAAAAGAACAACAGATATGGAAAGCCACTTAAGCTATTAAAACAAGCCAAAAAATTTTACTGTACACAAAACTTATTTCAATATGCCCACACACACATTTATATATACATGCAATATACAAAACATCACACATACTTAACACACACACATCATAGATGTATATAACCTTAATATAGATCGCATATACAAACACTAAACGTTATAAGCGAAACAGTTCCCACATCCACCAAGCACGTAAGGATCAATTAAGATCCCAATCCAATTATTTTCTATTCTCCAAGACAACATTTGGGTCATTTATAATTTATGGATATTTATTACCTAATTGTTTACAAAGACACACACACACACACAAGCAGACACACACATACAATTCGTCTTACTAAACTAAATACACCAACCTGATTCTTAATAAGCATGAATGATGATTTAAACTAACAGCTGTTTCATTTTATTACGAATCTAAAACACTTTGTCATTCCATAAATGACCATTCTAACATTTAATAGATGAAAATTATGACAAGAAGCGTTCAAAAATAAACATATACAAACAGAGGGACAAACACAAAAACATATATAATCACAGAGAAAAACACGTTCACACAGGCATGCGTGAAAGGAGACAAACATAAATTTTCATGAACATAAAAATCTGCTTAAACAAAAAACGGCACGACATAAATTATAAAAAAAACTCACTCAACAAAAAACTAAAAAAAATATTACCATTTGGCCTAAAAAAAATTCATTTTGAAAACTCCAAATTTCATTAAAGAAAAACACCTAAAAATAAATAAATGAAGCGTTTCGTCATGAAAATAATCAGCTGAGTGTTAGTTGATTTGGGGCCATAAATCCGGTATCCCCAAGAAATCGAATTGAAACTCGCCCCGATGGTCTGATTACTATCCAAGTTATGCTGGCATGATGTAATGACATCCTCAACCATGCCTCTGCTGGGAGCTGTAGAGCTCTGTCAATCAGTCAATCAATCAACCAACCAACTAAACAACCAAGCAATCAATCAATCAATCTGAAACTTAACCAAAATTATCATTGTCATTATCATCATCAACTTAACGTCAATTATATATTTTCTCATAACATGGACATATGAATGAGTGGATGAATGAATGATGGAGAGTTATCAAATCAAATGAACAACCTGCAAACGAGATATCTAATCACATTGGCGTGGCAGACGTAAACCTCAAATGAGTCTTTCAACTGCGTTGGCTTGGCTCTGTGGAAGAATGTTTCAAATGCTTTTTCAATTCGGGCACCATCTTCCAAAAACTGCTATTGTAAAAATATTTTGAAATATTGAAAAAAAAAATTTATTTTTGATAACAAATGGAGAATTTGTTTCGTTTATCATTCAAAAAAAAACTCAGGTAGACAGAGAGAATCTGTTACAACATGCAAAATGATGAATAAAAATATCTTGTGGCCAAAAAAATGTGCAGTTGGAACTAATCAGTAGGCCACCTATTTTTTAATACAATTACTTAGTCTACATGATAACCATAAACTTACTTTGGCCACTCTGTACATAAAACATTTAAACTGAAGAAAATAGAAAAAAAATGAAATAGTGTAAGGTAAATCAAGTGCTCTTTATCCTACCAAGTAGTTTGTATTGGAAGTTTTTAATGTTCTATTATGTATCAAATATTATAAGTAATGACAATAATAATAAAAATAAAAAAACAGTAATAATAATAACTCTAGCAGCAGGCTTCCAGTGATGTAAAGATGGTTCTGGAGGAAATGGAGACCCTTCCCTCAGCAAATCTGTATTCTCTATTTCACCTTTCCCTAATTTTAGTTCGCCATTGATTAGGGCAGCTGTCTGCTGTGCCCGTGTCATCGTGGAGACAACCATTTTAGAAAATTTGAAGGATAAAGTGGAAAGCCTTCGACCTGCTGTCTTTGCTTGCTCAATTCCTAAAAGATCAGCAAATTAAAAAACTTTTAATTTCATTTAAATTAATATTCAATTAAATTTGAAACTTGAAAATAACTTGTATTAAATTATAATTAGTAAGAAAGTACTTTAAAAAAAATAATTTCAAACCAAGAGGAGTGAGAACATGTTCTTGATCATTCTGCCCTGCCAATTTGTACTGACCGTGCCTGATTAGAAACAAATTTCTGGTGGCTGTGATCTTATCTGGAATGATGTTTGCATTTTCATCTAATACTAACTTCCCCTTCTTTTTGTTACCAGATTCATAAGTTGAGTGACATCTGTCATTTATAAATTAGAATTGGCGAGACAATTGAATTAAAAGAAGCCAAAAATAAATTAAATAATGAACAATTAATGCTTAACCAGTAGCCAACTTAAATTTAAGCTATTCTAACCTAATCAAAACCAAAGTTTTTCAAAATTCTGTGATAGGATTATCAATTATCTATCAGTAATTAGTAACTAAATTACCTGATTACTTACAGTACATTTAAAAATTATTTTTTATTACCTTACTAAAAAAACAATACTTCAACCAAATCAATAGATTAATAAAAGCATTGACTTTATTAATTAATCTTACTATTTTATTTATTTATTTTACTTTTTTTTAATAATTAATAATTAATTAAAAATGCAAAATTAGTAATTATATTATTAACTTGTCCCAGTCGTTGATCCAGGATTGTGGCAAATATTCTTTGGACCAGGTAGCCATTTGTTTCTGTAAATCGAAGTATTCCGACTTGACATTCTCGTTCCGGATCTGATATTTTTTGTACGTTTCATTCGAGACCCACCCAACGGCCCCGCCAACTACCAAACTGGCCAACAATTTCGCCATTAAAAATGACCAACACAAATTAATTTTTTTTAATGGCCAACAAAAAAAACTTCTGAAATAAATATTGTCCTAATTTGTCTTCCGGATAATAATAAAATAAATAAATAAAGGAAAAACGTGCAAAACTCTAAATCTGGGAAAGTCTTCTATCCCCTAGCACAGGCTGTATCAAAAAAGTTTTGACGATGAAATTAGTTCGATGTATAGAGTTCACTTGTTTTCTTTTTAATTAATTGAACTATAAGCTCTATTTTGATAAAATTGACAGTACACTGATATTTATGGTTTATGTGGTATAGTCAATAAATTTGGAAATAAATATATCTAAATTCTTTAAAAATATATATACATACAATCATGTGTGCGTTTGTATGTATATATTTATTTTATGTGTTTATATATATATATATATATATATATATATATATGTGTGTGTGTGTGTGTGTGTGGGTGTTTGTATGTGTGTGTGTGATTCATTTGTTCATTTATTTGCAACATTTCTATTAATTCAATAACACACCTTCCATTTATTTCAATTTGACAACATTATGAACAATTTTCTGCAATCAGTTTTGCTACTAAATATATTTACATTAAGTAAACATTTAAAAGTAATAGAACAAGAATATAAAATACATAACTTGGAATATATAGTAGTGGAGCTAATAACAGTAGTTACGAAACAACAACAACAACAACAGCAACAACAGCAACAACAACAATAATAATAATATAATAATCTAGTATAATATTTTATAGATTGTATCACTAATCTAAAATGGTCCCGATGCCGACACTCAGAAATTCCATCATAGATGATGAAATAGTACCAAAAAAATTTCACAAAATGGAATGATGACATCATCAACATCAACAACAACATAACAACAACAGCACAACAACGTCGTCGCAATAATCAACAACAACAACGACAACAGTAATAACAACAATAACAATAATATTAACGATAATAAAAAATCCTAATTTTCTTTCCCTAATCAGGCGCGCCTAAAAAACGGATGAGTGCTTCGTAATCTCGGATTAATATCATCGTCGGCAAGCTTATGATGATGAACATTGTGGTGATGCTGAACGCCTAATTTGTTATGGCAGTACCTACTTGTCCTTGCTGTCATGGGTTTTATACTCTTGAAATATATAATCAGGTAGAATATGCCGGCTAGTGCAGCTAGTGAAGCCACTACAAGGAGTGAAAGAACGGCCGTCGACGTCATCCATATTGGGAGGAGTGAAAAAATGGCGGCTGATGTTGTTGTGCCGTTGTTGTTGTTGATGTTGTGTTGGTTGGAGTGTACAACATAGTTGCCGTTGTTATTGTTGTTGGTAAAGTTGTTGGCGGTTTTGTGGCCGTGGTGGGCGTAAACTGTTGTGGCTGTCGCCGTAGCTGCTGTTGTGGAGTTGATGGATTTTCCAGGGCTAATAAAGGGTAAATAATTATCGCTCTCCATGAGGTCGTTTGTAATTTTGGTTTTGATATTTTTACCGACGTCATTGTTATTATTGTTATCGTTATTGTTGTTATTGCTTTTGTTGTTGTTTCTGTTGTTGTACTTAATTTCGTTGTTGGAAAATTGATTGCCTGTAAGCCATTTCATGTTCTGGTTGCCGTCATCGGTGTCCATGTCGTTGAGGTTATTAATGTTGCTGATGTTGTTGTTATTGCTGTTGCTGTTGTTGTTGTTGTTGTTGTTGCTGCTGTTGCTGTTGTTGTTGCTGCTGTTGTTGTTGTTGTAGTGGACAAATTCATAGTCATGTAATGTGTTGTGAATGTGTCTGTGATGAAATTTATTGTTACTGTTAATGTTCTTATGATTCTTTTGTGGTTTGCTGTTGATGTTTTTGTAGTTATTATTATTATTATTATTACTATTATTATTATTATTATTATTATTATAACTATTGCTATTGTTGTTGCTACTGCGTCGATACATATTATGGCTGTTATTGCTTTTGTTGTTGTTGTAGTTGTTGTTATTGATCACGTGATCCACATTATCTAATGTTGAAAGGGCAACGAAAAATATAAATAAATTATTTAATTATTAACTGAGAACAAAGATATTAAAATTTAGTTAATTCAATCTATATTGTTTCTTATGCACAAAAAGAAAACAAAAAATAAAATTATTTATTACCCTTATTGTAGTGAATTGAATGAATGAACGAACGAATTGAATGAAAGATTGAATGAGCATGAACAAATGACCGATTAAAATAATGAATGAACGAATGAACGAACGAACGAATGAATGAATGAATGAATGAATGAATGAATGAATGAATGAATGAATGAATGAATGAATGAATGAATGAATGAATGAATGAATGAATGAATGAATAATAAATTTACAAAATATAGAATTCTAAATGTTACCTCCGTCAAGATTGTATCTCACAGATAGTCTCTGACGTATTTTATTTCTATGGTAATGGGACGTAGCAGACTCCATAGATAGATAAATTAATGTAATAATATTGAGATACTTCCGGCTGATGACGACGATGATGATGATGTTGGTTGAGGTGATGATGATAATGATGATGATGATGATGATCCAGTCGGATTTCGTTGAATGCTTTCAATGCACCTAAGAAGTCTTCAATTGTCAAGTTACATTTTAAGTTAGCAAAATGTATAATAGTAACAATAATAATAACAATAATAACAAATAAATAATAATAATAATTTTTAATATTAAAAAAATTAACTCAAATATCCGGGCGTAAAGTATATGGTTATTTATAGGTAGCTCGTGAATTTGCTTGCCAAGTATTTTTTAAACATAATCATAGACTGATAAACTGCATAAGAATATATGAAAAATGTTTAATGCAAACACACACCACACACACATCACGCACACACAAACCCAGACACACCACACATATGAAAACCCACACCTATACAAACATTGCGATTAATTTCGAGAATTTTGATATAAATAAAATACAACGGCAAACGATATATCATTAACAACACTAGCAAAAACAATTATAATTATAACTATAATAATTACATTATTATTACTATAATTATAACTATAATAATTACATTATTATTACTATAATTATAACTATAATAATAACATTATTATTACTATAATTATAACTATCATAATTACATTATTATTACTATAATTATTATTATCGTTTATCCCAAAGCATCGACTCGTACAACAATCCTCTTTTAATTTTTCGAGCCTTCATTTATACAGGTAAAACAAATAAAACGAATGAAACTGTGTGGCCTGAAAGGGTTATATATATATATATATATATATATATATATATATATATATGTGTGTGTGTGTGTGTTATATATATATATATCAAATCACTTTTATTCAATCAAACAAAACAATATGTATATATATATATATATATATGTGTATATATTTGTGTGTGTGTGTGTGTGTGTGTGTGTGTGTGTGTGTGTGTGTGTGTGTGTGTGTGTGTGTGTTGGGTTTATAATATTGAGTGTGTTCATCTTGATATGAATGATGCTTTTTTTTGTAAAATTTACAAACGCACTTATTTCATCTCCCTGCCGCAATGTTTGCTCTATCGATGTTTGCTTGATGCATCGTGCATTCATGCATGCATGCATGGGCGGATGGTTTGGTAGATGAATGAATGAGTGGGTGG